GATAGTCACATAAGGATCACTAGTCACTTTTGGAGCCTTTTGCCCATCACTGTTCTTAGAACTCTTAAAAGACACTTTTGAAAGAACATCCCCAAGAGTCTTATGAAACATATCCATGTTAGGAAGATTCTTGGCTGACTTGACAGAAATATCCAAATAACCATGCAAGAGCAAGAACTTCAGTGATGCATTTCCAGATGAAAATGGCAAAGATTGATTACTTTGACCATGTTGTGACCCAAATGACAAAGTTTCAAAAATCCGACCAGCCATTAACAGAGAAGAAACAGCAGATAGATAGCTCAAAAGCAAAATCTTAAACCAAGCTCAACAAACAGATATCAATAATTTCAAGCAAGCAAACAGGGCATATAAAAGATTTCGAACAAAACTGAATCTGGGTTTGCGTTGAAGATGAATATTGTTGACTACTTGCCTCAGAATTAGCAAATGGCCGTGTGGATCGGCTGATCCTTTAAATAAAGAACATATTATATTGACTGGAGCTTCAAAAATGGGCGATTTCAAGAAGCGAAGCAACATGATTGGGTGGCTTGAACCTACAAACAACGACACTTGCGAGGAAGGAGAGATGGGGATTTAAAAAATGGATTATAGTGAACAATAGGGTTGACCAAGGATCAAATCCACCAAGAAAAGTCGCCCACTGTCGAGCAGCCGACCCCTCGAACAAATATTAAGCTCAAATCGTTGAAAACTAAAATTTGTTAATCGTGTTTAAAATTAATTAAAAAGTTTTGAATGAATTAAATGGTAATTTTAAAAATTTTATGTAAAGATTCAAGTGAAGATGTAAGCCGCCATTGGAAGGAGACTCCAATGGGGCAGCTGCTAATGAAATAATCCAAGTTGGAAGCTCCGCAGCCTGAGCCTGGCCTGCCTACCAATTCCAAACTTTTGCAATTTGCAGCCGTCCGCCATCAATCACAAGTTTCTTCAAATTCTGAAACTTTTAATTTTCTCCGCTATAGTTGGATCGATTAAGACTCTCGTGAATAATTTTATAAGAATTTTAAAAAGTTATATAGATCATGTTTTTGGTCCTATTTATCTAACACGCAAAACAATATTATTCTATCTAAGTCTAAATGGAAATTTTTCTCCATGAGCACAAGGCGACATTAATTGATTTCGAGATGTTAGAAAGGAATCTTAGTCTAAATAATTATTTTGTTTTTATTTATGAGAATGAGTTGAATGACTATTCTTCATAAATATCTTAATTTTTAAAAAAAGAAATAGCTAAAAAGAAAATTTTGTAATCAACATGCTAATTTCATTAAAAATATATAATATATTCTTTAATTTTTTATTTAATAGACTCATTCAATTTTTTTAAAAAAATTTTACTAATTTATTAAATATAAAATTAAACATTTTATAAAATTATAAAATAACAATAAAATATTGATTTTTTGTGTTTAGTAGAATCATAAATTTTATAAATATCGAATAAGTAAAAACTTATTAGACACATAATTGAAAATTCAAGAATCTAAATAAATATCAAAGCTTAAGACCTTTTAGACGCATTTTCAGGAACTATATGCAAGACATCTGTATTAAACGGCTCCATCCTTAGTTTTTGTTGTTGGGCCTCGCTATTGGACAACTATCTAGGCATGTATTTTCAACATGGACTCTTAAAACTTTTGCTTCTTTCGGAATGTTTGATTAACAAGGTAATCAAAATATTTCTCTCTTAAAGTGGTTCTTTATCATTTTGGAGTTTTAAATATTTCTATCTAAATATTTTATTCTTCCAAAGGGTTGTTAGATCGAATTCCTAAGAGCAACAATCATTTGGAACGAAATCATATGATTGGAGGGTTTTGGCATTTGTGATCTAAGGGTTGGCTAGAGCTACAGTTTAAGTCCACCGCTAGCAGATATTGTCCGCTTTAGCCTGTTACGTAGCGCCGTCAGCTTCACGTTTTTAAAACGCAAAACGCGTCTGCAAGGGAGAGGTTTCCACACCCTTATAAGAAATGTTTTGTTCCCCTCTCTAACTAACGTGGGATCTCACAATTCACCCATTTGGGAGCTGGCGTCCTCGTTCCCTCTCCAATCAACGTAAGATCTCACCATTCACTTTCTTAAGGGTCAACATCCTTATTCTTCTCTCCAACTGAGGTAGGATCTCATAGCTACCACACCACTTTGAATACCCAACTCCTCGCCCCAAGTAAGGGTTTGGATTTGGATGTACGTCAACCCCCTTTGAAAGTTATGCCAAGCTAATTCTAAGTGTGGGCATTGATTTCTTCCTTAACCCTCCAATTTTTTCTTACCTTAAAAGTCCAAGACTTCTCTACCTGGTATACTTTTTTGACAGTTGGGCATCAAATCTCGTACATTAAAAATAACCAAGAAACTGTAGAAACAGCCTAGTATCAGTATTCTGAATGAAAAAAATGGAACCCAAATGAATGGTCATCAACAATTCTAACTGTATAATGTGTCCAGGCTAGCTGAAAACTAAGAGGTGTAAATAAAATAAATAAGAACTTTTAAACACAGCATCAAGAGGGCCAACAATGAACTTTAAAAGCAGCAAACGACTCGACCTAACAACAACAATCCAGCTAGTAGATATTGTCCTTTTTGGGCAGTAGATACTCTTCTCCACAATCGATGTGGGACCCCCTAATCCACCCCCTTCGTGGCCCAGCGTCTTTGCTGGCACACCGCCTCATGTCCACCCCATCGGGGCTCAGCGTCCTCGCTAGCACATCGTCCGTTGTCTGGCTCTGGTACCATTTGTAATAACTCAAGCCCAGTGCAAGTAGAGACATTGTCCTCTTTTAAGCTTTTCCTTTCGAAGTTCCCCTCAAGATTTTTAAAACAGGTATGTTAGGGGAGAGGTTTCCACATCCTTATAAAAAAAATGTTTCGTTCTCGTCCCCAACCGATGTGGGATCTCACGGTAAGCTTAAGCTTACAATTAAAGCAGGGAACAAATGAGACCCCACAGCTTGAACTATCAGAAAGAGACCCAATGACAAACCCAGAAATGATAGCAGAATTTAGATACTATGCTGGAATGAGTTGTGAAAACTGATGACTTTGAAGATGTATTAGTAGTTAGTTGGGTCAAAGCATGTGAATGCTTATGGAAATAATAGATTTCAAGCCTCACCCAATTTGCAATCCTCATAATGAAGGCCCAAGTCCCCACACACATTTAAACCATAGAATGGACTAGTCAACTCGGTCACAAAAAGGCTATGAATGTTCTCCAAATCCAAGCTAAAGTTTTGAAAAAAATTAGTTTAGATTTTTGGAATATAACTAAGAATTCAAGATGAAAACATTCAGTGCGAAACTAAACACAATTTACAAAATCTAAAAGCTCCTTAATGGTTATCAAAGGGGTCCAATCTCAAGAATCACAACAGAAGTTGCTCCATTGAATATTACAGTATCAAAAGATACTGAAATCTTGGTTAAAATGAACGTCAATTCTGTAGATGTTTCCATGAACTTGCTTCTAATATGCAAGGAATAGGATTCTAAGAACAAATGTGAATGTAATGGTGAGGGTTGAAAATTCGCCCTATAACAAATAAGGTCATTAATGCTTTTGAAGTAGTTAGCTATGAATCTTGTTGCTATTTCTACGATCTCAATTATAAATCACAGGAGATTTTGTTAAGAGTATCTTACGCAGGGGAGGCTCATTGGAAGCATTTCCAGATCGGATTCTGTCCGAAATTCTTGCGATGTTGTTTCTGCGCTACAACCATCTTGTTTTTCCTTTTCTTCTCATCAATTTTGTTTTCATCAGCCATCAGTTGATTGAAGCTCAAACCCTAATCGACCCTGATTTTGACCAAGCCCTTTTGCCCTTCGGCTCACAGGCAGGCAGAGGAAGTTTCTTGGGTCGCTGCATTGAGAATGACGACGGCGCCACTTTCACTGTGCGGAACAACTGCTCCTTCACAGTCTGGGCCGCCGCCATACCAAGCGGTGGCCAACGGCTCCACAGCGGAGAGGCTTGGAACTTGAAATTACCATTCGGAGCGGTGGGACGCGTTTGGGGCAGAACCAATTGTTCCTTCGATAGCTCAGGGCGTGGAAATTGCGAGACCGGCGACTGCGGCGGCGTTCTCCAATGCCAAAGCTCCGGCGCACCGCCCAATACTCTCGTTGATTTTGCACTAAACCAATACAACAATCAGGATTTCTTCAGCGTCTCCCTCGTCGAAGGGTTCAATATTCCAGTCGAATTTAAGCCGACGTCTAACGAATGCAGCCAGAGCGTTCGTTGCGCTGCCGACATCAACAAGCAATGCCCGACGGAGCTGAGGGCGGCCGGCGGCTGCAACAATCCCTGCACCGTATTCGGAACCAGTGAATATTGTTGCGGTAACTCTTCAAGGAGTTGCGAGGCCACAGCGTTTTCGAAGTTTTTCAAAGAGAGGTGTCCTGATGCTTTTAGTTACCCCCAGGACGATACGGCTACAAAATTTACGTGTCTTGGCAAGACTAATTACGACGTCGTATTCTGCCCCCTCCGACCCTAAGACGAGGATCCACGCCACGTGTAAATTTAATTTTTAAAATACACCTTTCCTACATTACTTTCATAAAAATTTAATTTAGCTTTTAAATATTCTAAAAGGATTTCCCACCCTCTTGGTAGCACACGGCCTCTTGTTTGACTCTAATACCATTTATAAAAGCCTAAGCATCATACTACACCGTGCTAAATAGCAGATATTGTCAGCTTTTGTGCCCCTTTTGAGCCCTCACATCTTTTGTGACATACGGCACCATGTGGATCTCATAATCCACTCTATTAGGGCTCACTAATCCACCCTATTAAAGCACCGCTAACAAATATTGTTTTATTCAACTAACGTGAGATTTCACCATCCACCCTCTTGATAGCACACTCACTTGGAGCTAATACCATTTATAATATATGGTTAGTATGGGTCAGGTTCTAGAAGGATTATAAGATCTTAAAAGGGACCATGTTCAATGATTGCAATTTCCAGAACGTCTTCTTCCCCAAATCCCAACGCTGCGATGTCGTGTGTGCGCAACAAACATCTCCTTTTCTCGATTCTCCTCCTCGATTTCACTTTCACCAATCAATTTCTCCAAGCTCAAACCCTAATCGGCCCTAATTTTGACGAAGCGCTTCTGCCCTTCGGCTCACACGCAATCACCGGCACTCTATCCACCCGCTGCAATCGCCCCGAATTCGACGGTACTATCCCTTTCACTTTGCGTAACAAATGTCCCTTCACAGTTTGGGCCGCCACCATACCAGGCGGTGGCCGACAGCTCCAAACCAACGACGCTTGGGTTATCGACGTACCCTCCGGCACGACAGGAGGACGCATTTGGGGCAGAACAAACTGTTCCTTCGACAAATCTGGCCGTGGAAATTGCCAGACCGGAGATTGCGGAGGCGTTCTTCAGTGCGTAACCTTCGGCTCGCCCCCCAATACTCTTGCTGAATTTGCACTTGACCAATTTAACGATCTGGATTTCTTCGACGTCTCTCTCGTCGACGGGTTTAATATCCCGATGGAATTCACACCGACGTCTAACGGATGCAGCAGGGGCGTCCGTTGCGCCGCCGATATCAACGGGCAGTGCCCTAAGGTGCTGAAGGTGGCCGGCGGCTGTAACAATCCGTGCACAGTGTTCAAGACCGATGAGTATTGTTGCAGTAATTTTTCCACGAGCTGTGAGCCCACAAATTATTCGAAGTTTTTCAAGGGTCAGTGTCCGGATGCTTACAGCTACCCCATGGATGATGCAACCAGCACATTTACTTGTCCTGGTGCTGGCGCGACTAACTACGCCGTCGTGTTCTGCCCCTCCTAGAGCTGGTGAGTCACTATCATTTTGTTTTGTTTTATTGGTATTCCTTCCTGCTTAGATTGTTTTATAATCTTGTCATGAATGCATATAAACATGTTCTGAATGCATTTATAGAAATCCCCAATTGGTAAAGAACCCATCAAAGAAACTGATGTCTGGATGCTGATGAAAACCTTTAGCTACTAACAATCCTTGTAACATTAAATAGAGCCCATCTGGATTTACCTTCATCTGAAACACCCATTTATGGAACGAGGCTCTATGTACTGTTCTTCATCAAGGCCGAGATCTCTGCATCCATGGGTGTTAGAGGATTGTCGGGAGGGAGTGCCACATTGGCTAGTTAAGAGGACGATCATAGATTTATAAGTAAGGAATACATCTTCACTAGTCTGAGGCCTTTTCGGGAAACCAAAAGGCAAAGTGGACAATATTATACCATTATGGAGGTTCGTGATTACTATGTTAGGAATCACAGATCTCCATAATGGTATGATATATATTGTCTACTTTGAGCATAAGCTCTCATGGCTTTGCTAAGGCCTCATACCAATGGAGATGTATTCTCCAAGTGGGCTTAACTTTCGGCTTAAAAGCACCGACTTTCCCTCGAGTAATCATAGGATGAGCTGGTTGACATGAAGATAATGGAGCCAGAGATGAATATCTGTGTAGATGAATTGAGGCATTTATGCCGATTGTGAGTTGGGCTTGAGACTAAGTATACGCACCTGTTGCTACAAAACTGAAGCTTATGTGTATTGTACGGTTGGTAGTATGAAAAACACACACAACCAAAACTAAGTAAAGCTGAAAGAATCCAAGGATTATTGAAACAGTACCTGGATTGGTGACTTTCCTCCTAGAATTGTAGCAGCCATCCCACCAATAAGTTCACAACATGGAAGCTCGACCAAGCAATGTAAGATTGGTTTCGACAATATGTCGATGTTTCTTCTCAGCTCGTCCATTTTGTGCCCGACGTTCATGGACAAGAAAATTGAAACTTTATGCCCAACTTTTACCGCATTGTCGTTCAACGTGTAGGAAGTCGTTGAACGAGTGGTTATGAATATGAACAAAATCAGAGAAGGAAGAGTACTCGTGAGCTTTATAGCTGGAAATTCATGAAATCCATCGTTTATCTTTACATGAACGTGCCAACCAAAAGTGTGTACGCTTGAACATCTTGATTGGCCACAGTTTCTCGTAGTTGGATGTCTTCAAGAGTGCGAGTTAAACAAGAATGTGAGTTAAACTTCTACTCTAAGGCTTGACTTATAACACGAGGTAGTGACTATTGAATAAACTTAGTACGTAGTAATTATATTTGTTTGCAAAGCGTTACATTGGAAGGGTAAAGCCCATTGATCATTTTGTGTAGCTTCAAGATAACTCAGCCACTTACCGGTTAAATCGAGATGGTGACTATTGGACAAACTTAACACGAAGGAATGTAACTAGGTTTGATCACAAAGCGTTACATTGGAAGGGTAACACCCGTTGATCCTTTTGTGTAGGTTCAGGATAACTCAACACTTCCGCGTTAAATCGAGGTGGTGACTATTGAACAAACTTAACATGTAGGAACGTAGCTATGTTTGTTTGCAAAGCGTTACATCGAAAGAGTAATGCCCATCGATCCTTATGCGTAGGTTCAGGATAACTCAACACTTCCAAACTAAATCGAGATGGTGACTATTAGACAAACTTAGCACGTAGGAATGTAACTAGGTTTGTTTGCAAAGCGTTACGTTGTTGTATTGCATGTTAATGTGTGTAGCATTAAAGCAACTAAAAGCTAAGTCTTGACCTCTCGTTACTATCATTATCTTTCTTGCCTTGAGTTGTATATTTTTAAATACCCAAAACTCATCATATTTTCTAGTGATTTGGTCACCTTTTAGTTTATTTCGAGTAGTTGCACAATTTTTTTAATGTATTTTGTGAGAATCTTTTAGAAATAATATTTTTTAACATCTAATATATTAATATATATTTTATTCAAATTATACTAAATATCTCAATCTATTTTCAACTAATATTCAAATTTTAAATATATTTTTTATTTAATATATCTAATATGCTTAATTATTTTAATATTTAATATATTAATTACAATAAATATATTTTTTTCTTTTATATTTAATTAATTTAACTAAAAAAAATTAAATGGATCGTTTTTCTCGTCGTACACCATTTTCATTCCATCTGTGTCCCACAAAGAATCATACATTTATATCAATCCAGCTCCAACAACCAAGAATTGATCAGATAAGATCTTTAGCCAATCAATTTTTCCATTAACCCAAGGTGACTCAACTATAGATCACGAATTGCACTCTCATGTACTATAGAGGAATCATGTTCAATGATACAACTGTAAACGCTCATATATTATTTCATGTACTATCAAACATATCATGGCCGATCTTATACTACTTCATTGGTACGAAAAAAAAATCAAATAATAAGAAAAATAGAGAATAAATATTGTATTATGATAATTAGAAGAAAAAAAAAAGTAGCTGATCTATGTTGATATATTTATGTTATCATGCATCATATATATATATATATATAGATATTATTTTGACGCATATTTTACATACTTGCCGGCACGTAGTAGACCTTTATTATAAATAATAAATAAACCGACCAACAAAAAAAAATTATTATTATTTATTTATAAACAGCTGAAATTCCCATGACCAATAATATTTAAGAATATTGTAAATGGGTTTGCAAATATAATAATTTTTAAAAAAAAAAATTGAAGTTTTTTCAATAATAATAATAATGAAAAAGAAAAAGAAGATTTAAGAATTTCGTAATCTGAAAAAAAAAATAATTTTACAAATACATTTAAATCACAGTCGGCGATTTTAAAATAAAATGTTATCAAAATAAAATAATAAATAAATCCAACCGTTGACATTAAAAAATGAATTCTCAAATGAAAAAAAAAAAAGAAAAAAAGTATTTAATTGGGAATTGAAGTCAATTTCTAACTTTTTTTTTTTTAACATAAAAAATAAAAGTCCATTTATATTTATGGTGGTGATGCTCTTAAAGAGAAAAAAAGAAAATTATGTGTATATGTATAATATTGAGACAATATATATATATATATATATATATATTATTTATTTATTTAATTATTTACCTTCAATCCTTTATTTTCTAACCACAAAACTAATTTTAAAATATAAATATTTATATACGTCAATTGAAAACCTCGATAATAAGTGATAACTTGATAAATTAACTCGGTTATCATTAAATATTATATTATATATATATATATATATATTTTTAAGAAGATTATTACGTACTTGAAATTTGTACGTCCTGTCGGGTATTAAAATAATTTTAAAATGTACAAATACATCCCATTTCTAACCACTCTAAAACATTACTCGACTTTTGTAATTAAAAAAATTAATAATTATTATAAAATAAAATAAAAAAGAATTATTTGACTTTGAGTTGCTAAGCTGATGGTTGTGAGTGCGGGTCACGAAGAGCCAATAATTTGGCTTTGAACCCAATCGGTTTGACACATTATAAAAAGGAACTAACATAGAACTCAAGGCAGGCAATTTCACAACTTTGTTACAAACTCTTCTAAAGCAATGACTTCCTACTTCCCTCGTCCGAGCTTTGTCGCCATCATCGTCGTTTTCGTTTTGCCGCTTATGATGCCCGGGATCACAACTAGACCGGTGCTCGCCATCTTTCGACCGAGCCCTTGGAAGATTGCTCATGCCACCTTTTATGGTGACGAGACAGCATCTGAAACAATGGGTATGTAAACCTCTATCTCGTGATAATAACGGTAATTTAATAGTTAAGGATGTTTTGTATTGATGGTACGGATTTGCATTTCAGGAGGAGCTTGTGGATATGGAAACCTCTTCACGAACGGCTATGGCATCGACACGGTGGCTTTAAGCTCAACGCTTTTCAACAATGGCTACGCTTGTGGAACTTGCTTTCAAATCAAATGCATGCAATCCAAAGCTTGTTACGCTAACGTTGCGTTCACAACGGTGACGGCCACCAATCTCTGTCCCCCTAATTGGTCTAAACCCTCTGACAACGGTGGCTGGTGCAACCCTCCGAGGGTTCATTTTGACATGTCGAAACCTGCCTTTATGAAGATCGCCAACTGGAAGGCTGGGATCATCCCCGTTGCGTACCGTCGCGTTCCATGCATAAAAAAAGATGGCATTCGATTCACACTCCAAGGAAATGGGTACTGGCTTTTGGCGTACGTGATGAATGTCGGGGGCGGAGGGGACGTGTCCGGGATGTGGGTGAAAGGAAGCAAGACAGGGTGGATTAGAATGAGCCATAATTGGGGAGCTTCCTATCAAGCATTTTCCACGTTGGTTGGACAATCCCTGTCTTTTATAGTCACCTCGTACACCACCAAAGAGACCATCACGGCTTGGAATGTTGCTCCTTCTAATTGGAAGTTTGGCGCGACCTACAAAGCTAACGTCAACTTCCGTTGATGTCGAGGAGTTACTCGAAAAAACTGGTATTGGTTGATAGTTTTACACGGTTGGATATGAGACGGTGTAAAGACTGACAACTACAATGTGAAGGCCAGGTTCGAATAATTTTTTTTTATGTGAGATGTTTCGGCTCGAATAATTTAAGTCAATCCGACTTAAATACCCTTTTAACTTCATGGTCAACTCGGAGCTTTTTTGTTTTAAAAGCCGGGTTGGCTGGTTGTTTTATATATTTGAAAATTTTGTGTTATTTGCTTATAGGCAACTCCCTCTTGTAAACCAGGGTAGTTGTAATGTTTGATATATATATATACACATCTGTTACATACATGTCGGTAGCACGTACAATGAGATGAAATTTTTAGCTTTACACATAAAAAAATAAAATCAATTTAATTAAGTTCCATATATTACCGATCGTCACTAATTGACATGAATTTTTTTAAAAAATACAATAATTTAAAACGATTAAAACATGCATGCACTAATTACAAATCGGTGTAAAACAATACAAGTTCATATAAAAAAAATACCTCGGGGACGTTGTTCACAAAATACACTATCAAGACATTCATGAAATCATAAAATTCGAAAAAATCAAGACATTGACCTATCTCAACCCCTATAGCTCCACAACTAGTGCACGCCCTCACCCGACTACACAACCCAACTTTCTTCTAAATCGAAAGAGTGTAACATAAATGAGTATATAATACTCAGTAAGTTGTTTACTTATAGGTTATTAGTTTGTTTTTAAGTCTTATGTCCTTCGTGTAAATTAAATTATTTGTGTCTTATTACACTTACATGTCTCATCTCTGAGTCGTTGGCTCTCTTAGACTATCATCTATATTCAATTCGAATCACCGAAGCCCAACATGGGGTTTCGGTTTGGTAACTTCGAAGTTCTTCATCTTTCGACACTCTTGAGGCTCTCATCGGTTCTTAAGGTTCAGCTCTTTATAGCTTACTATCTCGTGAAGTATATCTTAGGGCTCTAAGGTATCTTGATGAGCTATTTACTAGTCCCTTTCATTATCATTATCGTCATCAACCTACATAGCATAGGTTCTTGAGACACAACCTCATTATAGTTCCAACTCATAGCTCTCATAATATCGTTATGGATAGTGTCTCAAATTCTCTAGTAGGATATAGTTAGTGCCTCTCTAGTAGGTTTCACAACGTCAATATCATAAAGGAGGGAGCGACCCTCATATCTGTCAAAGCTCATCAAACTATGTGATCGCTTGCGCTGATCTGAACAAGATACGACTTGTGGATGGATGAAAATCCTCTAATTGCATCCACAAGGCACTCATATGGCTCAAGAAGATTCATAAGGGCTCAGCTATATTGGTACCAACTCATTATCATATTAGTACAATTACTTTCTACATTAAATCTCTTTATAAACTGGTTTCAACATATATGTTGTTAGATCAATCTGACAAATCCAAAAATAGGACTATATCCCATCCCAACCCAACCTACATATTTTTTTTGTTGGATCAATCCGACCAATTCGAAAATAACTTGACAAATCCAAACTAGGCTTACAACCCGGCCCTACTTTTATAATTATTATGAAAATCAAGAATATTTAACATTTGTTATCACTAAAGATATATTGAGACCATTAAATGTTCAATATTTGAACTAACATGTATCGAGGATAAATTAAATTTTTTTAAGAATTAAAATTTTTAAAAATACAATCCAACAACTCAACCCAACCTGAGAATAGAGGGTTAGATTGGATTATAAACTCTATTCAGGTTGAAAATAGAGAGTTAGATTGGATTATAAACTCTATTCAGGTTGCTCGAATCACCAACCCAAATCTGTTCAGGTTGCTCGAATCACCAACCCAAAATTTCAAGTTGGTTCAAAAGATTCTAATTTTTTTCCCCTGAAAAGATAAAAAGCTCCATATTTGCTATTTCAATTACATTGAAAAAAAAAATTCCAGTTAAAACTGTCCAGAGATTTGAAATGAGTGAGCAAGTTGCATCATCTTTCATCATTACCCTAAAAAAAACCCCTTAAAACTACAAAACCACACTAATATGAATCCTTAAAACTATTTTTTTTTATTAAAATGTTTAAAGAGTTCAATGAACATTTTAAAAATGGCAAGAAAACCTTTAATTGAAGAACAAACTAAATGATTGTCACCTATGAACATAGCATATCATCATATAATATTATTAAATGTGTTCTAATGCTTAAAATGTACAAGTTTAATTCAAGTGCTGCTAACTCCATGCCTGAGTTTTCCTCCTTTTCAGAAGTTTGATACACAAACAAGCCAATTTTATACAAAAATATGTTAGAAACTTAAGTAATATATATGATGAGATGTTTTGCCTACAAAAACTCCTAATACAAAGACTAGAAATTGAATAGACCGATTAGCGAAAGAGTCTAGGCACTGATTTCCTTGGAATCTTACCTTCAAGCTTTAGTCTTCTATATGCTTCTCTGAGATGGCATGGCCTGATAGCTCCAGAATCATTCCGCTCAGTCATAACTACTCTAGCTGAAACAAAATCGAAGTATTGAAATGAGTCGATCTCGCTTTGGAATATGCAGATTCTTTTGTCTTTGATTCACATTGGTATTAACATGAACAGAGCAAAGGAAATGCATCTTTTGAGTCCTAGTCCTACATGAACAATGGATTGGGTTTTCGAGAAGTTTATACATACCCGTTTCCACGAGTTCACCAACGAACATCTTTGCTATCCCAGACACTACGATCGTCATTGGTACAGAAATTTTCTGCGTTCCTGAGATGCTTGCTAATAGCTGTGATTTACAAATGAATGGAAACAAGATGAACTGAATTCAGGTTCATAAAGATAAAATCATCTTAGATCCTGAGAGATTGAGGATGAGATGGATTCAAGTTTCCTGGGGTGGCGGATGAAGAATGCATTCCCACCCCCACCCTTTGTTACCACATCTATTTGTCTTTTGCTATTGGAAAATATTAAGATTCATACCCTTTTCATATTAGCTTTCTGAAATCCAGCTCTGCGGAAGGACTCGTAACGACTCATCTGTTCTTCTGTAAATTGTGAAAGAATGGCTCTGGCAAAATGTTAAGACAAGTTACAACAAGATTCTTTCCAAAGTAAAGACTTCATGATGCTGTATGTAAAGTTCATTCATAACAAAACCAAGAGAAGCTCTTGAGTAACAAAAATGATCCCGCAAAAATCTTAAAAAATACTGTCATTTTCAACCAACTCTCTGGAGCAACCATAAAAAAAAATATCCATTTTTTTTCCAATTTAAAAGCACGACTTGCAATTATAATGGATGAAGCCCAGAGGGTGTCTTATGTTTTAACAAGAGAAGAATTATGAACGTACAAGAGAAACTGGAAGAAACAAAAACATGATAGAAGCTTAAGAATTTGAAGTACACAATCTTAACTGTCAGGAATACAGAACTGAGTTCCTACCACAAATTTAAATAAAAATTAAATATATTCCAGCACCATACGTTTGTTTAAAATTAGGCCCTTAATGGATAATTGCACTGAATATAGTTTTATACAATTGAGCAATTCAAAAGAAAGAGTGGTATTAAAGGATAATTGATTACTGGCCACATCTTCACCATTGCCAGCGTGTGTAAGTTCCAGTACATAGCAAAAGCCAAGGGAGGCGTTCGTTGAAAGTCATGAATGAACAAGATACAAATTGACTTCCTAGCGTCTTCAGCATAGTACACAGGGTTAGGGATGACTGATTAAGTCTTGGAGTTGGTATAAGATCATAGTCCCAAGGTTTTTATCCAAAGTTTAGGCTTCCTTATAAATCTTGAATGCCACCTATAACTCTTATTTATTTTTTCAGCACACAATCTGTAATAGGCCAAGTCCACCGCTAGCAGATATTGTTCTCTTTGGGCTTTCCCCTCAAGGTTTTTAAAACGTGTCTCTTGAGAGAGGTTTCCACACCCTTATAGAGAATGTCTCACTCTCCTCTCCAATCGATGTGGGATCTCACCCAATCACTTAACTAATCAAGAGTAATTTTGAAATAACATGCCAAGCATACAACTGCATTTGCATGTAAGTCAATCTATAAACTTCAGTATGTGGATGCATCATCAGTGTTTTAAGGATCAAGTAATATCCAATTGGGAGGAACAAATAAGCTTATCTTAGAAGCAAACCTTTTTGGAACTCTTGATTAAGAAAACCATCACAAGGCTATTGCACTAATCTTATTGGGAACACCTGGAATTTGGAAGAGCAGGAAGCAACATGCAATGGTTAGGTCAGGTTCAAGGCAAAATCCTGGCAAGGACAAAGGGATTTTGTGAAGTTTTACAAATTATCATCATGAACTAGTTCACACTCTATTCATATCAATCAACTGTCCTGTCCAAAGGACTACATGCTACAAACATTTCGAACATCATGACAAGCTGCGAAAGCACCTAACAAGTGCAGTTCCTATAAATTAGGTATCTAGTTCCTGCTAATGATCTATCTTATTCCACATAAGTCTAAGGACATTGATTCTCCAATTTGCAAGAACTTGTGACTGATGCAGTCTATTGAAATAAAATTGCTTAAAAAGAAAATTCCTACTAAACAAAATTTATCTTTTGGAATGCTTGATGTCAGCATTTCATCAACCGATACTACGAGTGACGAGACACAAGGCCATCTTTCTTTCACAATGCCCCTTTCAAACAAATATGCTCCATGTTTCTAAATGCCTTGAAGCCAGATTGTGGCTATTTCCAACTGTATGATGTTCCACCATCTTTGGTTCCAAACATTAGAGCTTAAACAATCTCAATTTCTTCTTATAGACTCTTAGATTCTGATTTTATTATGACATTTTTCCTTGATGTAAATGCTATCCCCTCAAAAAGTTACAATCTTCATAGCCATTTGGCAAACTTGAAGGCTTAAACCTTCCTTGATAGGATTTTCCTCGGTATCAGTTCGAGTTATCACCCTTTTACAAGATTTCATATCATCGGTTAAATATAAGCTCAACAGACTTTTCACGAACACAAACAATGCATGAGAATTAACCTAAAAATCATCATAACCTTGTCAAATAAGCCGACAGAGGAAGTATTTTTTAGCATCAAAGTTGACGATAACATCGACACTAAGCTAGCGCAACTTGAAAGAGAGGAATGAAGTAAGAACAAAAGTTAAACCTAAATATTGAGAGAGACAAGAAAACATACTGCATCTTCGCCATCTTATCTGGATCGCCACTCGAGGGGAATTTAGCGAGCTCCACTTCGACATTCTCTTCCTCTTCTTCATCGTCGTCTTCTTTGGTTTTAGGTGCGGCAGAGACATTGGAGGAAGACGAAACGAACAAAGAAGTAGTGGATGCAGAAGGAATACCAGAATTTGTGGCGGCGGCGGCGGCGGATTTTGGTTCATCGTCACCATCGTGCAAATCAAGAGCGTCGGCGTCGACGGTGGCAGCAACGTTGGTCTGAATTTCGAGATCATCGGCAGCGGAGGGGGAGTTCGGTGGAGATTCCTCCTGCTCCTCAAACGCCGCTTCAAATGGGTCCTTCGATTGCTTCATTTTTTGTGGAAATACTCTCCGAATTGATCGTGAACTAACCTGATTTGATCCCAATTTTGAAATGTTTCATGAAACAATTTCGACTGTGTGATTTGTAAGCTGGGAATTGGGGTTTGAATCCGATTTTTTCAAGAAAATTATAATTTATATTTTAAAACGTTGAGTAAACTAAGAGTCCTTTGGCCCACTAATTTAGACCACTATCAATAGCAAACCCTAAATAGGTCGCTCTTAATCTTGAGTAATTTCGTCTTCTGTGTTGAACCGTTTACCTTAGTTTCGACTCCAATCCTAGCATCGATAAATGAGGGTCGTAAATGACTCTTCTAATGTAACGGCCCAGATCCACCGCTAGCAGATATAGCTTTATTTGGACTTTTCCTCAAAGGTTTTAAAACACGTCTGCCAGGGGAAGGTTTCCACACCCTTATAAATGGTGGTTTGTTTTCCTCCCCAAAACAAATGTGGGACATCACATCTGAGACAACTTTCGGGAGGTCAGTTCAAGCTTGATTTATAATTGTGACTAGTATACTTTCTAATGCAATCCATTCATTCATTCGTATTTTCGTTTTTTTTTTCTTTGCAATACCGAACCAAAGACAAAGGGGAAAGAAGTTCCAATGAACCCCAAGGATAAGGACTAAGGAAAAGTTGCCGAACAAACTTCCGGCCTCAACCCTAGCCTCGAAATGAGAGAGAGTCCCGCTTAAACTACAAAACAAAATTCCGACCTCAACCCTAATCTCAAAAAGATGAGAGAGTCCCGCTCAAACTACAACAATTTTTCGACCAGAACCCTAACCTTGACAAATGAGCTAGAGTCCTGCTTAAACTCAACAAATTTAAAATTAAACATTATTATGTCTCAATTAATTAAAATAAATTAATATCAATTATCAATTAATTCGACCATTTTTAAGACAGCTATTTATTTTAATTTTACACTTAAAATCAAATTTGTCACTAAAATGTTTGCAAAATGGGCTAAAAAGATGTGGGCTTAGCTTTTCCCATATTCGGCCCAGCCCATTTCAAAAGCCCAAAACGAGGCGAAGAAATGGCTAAACCGAAAAACGGAAAAAATCAGAAGCTCAGTAACACACCGACCATGGACAAGAGAAGCAGAGACGAGAAGATGAGTGGAGCTGCAACTGCTCCGCCCCAAGGGAGACCGTCTGCGCGGCCACTCCCTCCGCCGTCTCAGGCCAAAGCTCCGCCGCCTCCTCCTCGCGCTCGTTTCGAACCCGTCGACCGCGAAAAGGTTTCTATTAGGGCTTGCTTCTTCCTCTCGTTTTTTTTTTCTTTTCTTCACACCGCTGAGATAAGTTCACGGTTTCTTGAATCTTTGTTTGTTATTCAACTGAAACTTATCTGCTTTTTGTTTTGTTGCAATTTTCGCTTCCTTCCGTGATGGTGATTTCAAGACTTGCCCTTTGCTGCTTCGCGTTTTTACTAAGGTGCGTTTGAATTCTTTGAGAAGCCTTCTTGTTCGATTTATCTTTGTTCTTTTAAAATTTGAGATGATTGTGAAATGCGTCATGGCGGAAAATGTCCTGTTTTCGGTTCTTGGTATCTGTTTGACATTGTCGACCTGCTACCTTTTATGATACTTCTGAGTTTATTAGCGATTGTGCATTTCTTATACTTCGTTCCATGATTCGGTTTCTTTTGTTGTGTGAAGATTGTGTTGAAGGGTCCTTTTTTCACATGATTTTTTTTTTCTTGATTGGTGCACTTGGGAGGAGTAATGAGAAAACTTCACTTTGATATTAGAATTGGCGTGGGGTTCAGTTCATGTATTTACATCTTACTGCAGACGGTATACAGGATATGCTTCATTTACATTTTTGCAGGTTGGAAGTCACCACACCGATGAGGATTTTGCCATTAGAGGTAAGGAACCCAAAGATGAGGTTCAGATTTATACATGGAAAGATGCAACACTCCGGGAGCTAACCGATCTAGTATGCAGAAAACCTACACTGTTCTGTTTCTTTTCTATCGTTTCTCCATCTGTTCTTGCTGTTGCTGTTCTGTATTTGATAAATGGCTGTCTGCTTTCAGGTTAAGGAGGTTGCTCCGGAGGCAAGAAGAAGAAATGCCAAACTTTCTTTTGCTTTTGTTTATCCCGACAAGCGTGGTCGATTCGTTTTAAAACCGGTGAGTGATCGTTAACAAAAATGTCACCTGCAGACTTCGAATGTTACCTAATCATTTATCTCATCTACAATTGTACTAAATGTTTAGCTGTTCACTTCCTAAATGCACTACTTGTATAGATAAATTGTTGTCATTTCTTAATATGAAGACGTTTTGATCATTCTTAAGGTGGGAACAACACATTCTTATGGAAATGGCAGGAGACTAGATGGCAGCAAGGCGTTGGGTGAACTGGATTTCCAGGTAAAAATTAACATTAGGGCTCTTGAATTGAGTTTCTTGCTAGTTTCTGAGGAAACTGATGTTTCTTCTGCTATGTTTTTGAATTTGAAAAATGTAGATCGGAGATTATTTGGACGTGGCAATCATGTAGAAATCTGGGTTACATGAAAGTGATGATGCTACTATTTAGTTGGAGAGTGAATGTTATCAAATGTTTTCTGCATTTTTTTAATTTCTATATTCAAATGTCTTGTGAAGGTAGAAGAACAGATTGTATTGATTGGTAACTTTGATTCTGTCATCTGGTTCTAGTTTGAATCCCATTATTTAATAACCTCTTCTTATATTTCCCCAAATATGTACTTTTAGATCTCTATGTTTTATAGAACTTTATTTCACAAGGGAAATACTTTACCTTTCTCTTAAACTGAAGATAAAGATTTAGTTTCGGAACTTTCGACTCGGTTTCTGATTTTACATATATTAATTATATTTTATTGGTGAAACTTCATCACACCCTTCTCTAGGTATAGTGTGTACATGATGAGTATTCACAAATTTGTACATCAAGATACAATGTTGCACAACTGCTAAAAAATTCTCTCTACAAGGCAGGGTTTAAGCATCATAATATCCTTCATATTCAACCATGGAGAATTCTTGTAGCTTCCATATGATGATCCCTTTGGTCTTGTTTCTCCTGGAATTACAGCTTACAAATCCTAGATTTATCAGTAGATAGTAATAGTTAGTAGCATGAGAGTCTTTGCCTTGAAGTTCTCTAATGGAATGTAGATGGGATAATATTTGGTTACCAAATGGGATGATATTGGCACAGAGAAATTAGAGAATGATAATGTAATGTAGATGCATGTTAAAAGACAATAATTTCTCTAGGGGATTAAAGATGATCACAAAGTGTACCTCTAACTTATGCGTTGCTTCCTTCTGGTAATGTGATCAGGCGGGTTTTCGAGTCATACACCAGCTCAGTTGAACAGCTGAAGAATATATATAGTTTTTACAGTGAATAATTATGAGATAAACCATTGAAAAAAGAAGCATATATGCAAGATGTTAAGAATGGTAGCAATTTAATGAGCTTCATACTTTGAGCACTTGAGATTGTTTGTTTTGCCACCGCTTGAAACTGACAATATGGTGCCAAAGAAGGAGACATTCTCAGTTCCACAGTTTGGACAAGGGCCCTGTAAAAAGATTTTGTACAGTCAAGGTAGCTTCATATGCCATTTCAAGCAGGTCATACAAGGTTCATATTGTCAAAAATGGGTAACAATGAACTCTACTCTACCTTCAAGATCAAAGAGTCTCTAACAACTGCATTTGTAAGGGTAAGAGCTAACCAAACTAGGAATGGCACAGCAGCAAACCAAGTGAAGATGAAACTGAATGGCTCTGGAAGCTGCATTCAACGCAGTATGAACAAATTTCAAGTTAGAAGAGCATGAAGAATTTCAAGTTAGAAGAGCATGAAGTAATGATTATCAGGGAGAGTTTAGAATTAGACAAATGCTGAAAAGTTTGAAGCAAGATCTCTGCTAGCTTATTCTTTAGCTATAGAGCTTCTCTTGCAAAAGAATTGATCAACAATGCATATACCGAAGAAAGGAGAAAGATCATGATAATCATGGCTGTAGCTTGCTTAAAAAGAGTTTAGTTTCTTGTGTGACAAGAATTATGCAGTTTAGGAGATGCTGCAGAATTCTTTTATCTTCAATACTTGGCCATGAAAAAGTAGATGAAAAGGGTGAAAATTTTACCTCCAACAAGTATGTAATTTCAAATCCAGTGATATCATCCAGGAAGAAGAACCTAAAAGTAACCATAAACAAATGAGTGTCTAAGTTTTAAACACGAAAATGCAAACAAAGAAGGGCCGAAACACACAACCAAAATTACAATATCAGAAAGTAAACTTAACATGATTCGATAACAATTTACTTTCGATTTTCTACTTCTAAAAACTAAGCTCATGAGAACTATATGCCTATATTTTTTTTTTTTGTTGTTTAATCTTAAAAAATTAGAAAACTAAAAACAAAAATGTTATGACACCATTCATTGGTTAAATGGTTCTTGTAAATTGAAATAGATGGTTTCAAACTTACAGTCCCAGTGCAACTACAGTGGCTGGAACATTCAAGAGGAACATCCTAAAGTAGTCCACAGAGAGATCACTATAAACCTGTAAGAAGAAAGGTAATCAGTACAAGTTCATACAAAGCCATTCTAGATCTTCAAAATTCTAAATACAGGTTCATACTTTTGCAACTTAAGGAGAAATATGCAGTTACTTCATAATCAAATATGTAAACAATGACCATCGGATTACATTTTAATTCTAGTGGAATCAAGTACGGAATATGCTTAGTGCTTTTCTTCACAAACTTTCAATAAATCTTAATAAGGTAATCAATGCAGTTACTTCATAATCAGATATGTAAACAATGACCGTCGGATTACATTTTAATTCTAGTGAAATCAAGTACGGAATATGCTTAGTGCTTTTCTTCACAAACTTTCAATAAATCTTAAAATTAATTCTTATCGCTAGTTTGAAGTTAATTTTTATAAAAATTGGCTAAAGTAGTTTTCGTGCCACAAAAAACATCATGTATATATGTTTCAGAAAGTTAACAATAAACTAACGGCAAAGAGAACTATATTTAAACGTTAGAGAGTACATTGGCCAAAATTAAATGAGACTTGGATTATCCGAGCCAAAAAAATGGTATTGTACTGATGTTATTTTCACAAGTATTTTGGAAGAAATATGGATTAAGTACGTTTTAAACTATTAATAGCTTTTAATTGTTTCAAGAAGTCCAAAAGTACCATATAGATCAAGCATCCAAATACACATATCTTTCATTATCCAAAACATAAACAATTTTCATTATCCAAAATTCACCCTAATTATAAAATGGGCTGAAACCATATTAGACAATTACACATACCTTTCGACTTCGGAGACTGCAACGGGGGCCCTCAGCCACAATTTCACTCCCTTCCATCTGAAAGTACAACAATTTTTCAAGTATATCACACGACTTTATTAGTTCCGTATTATGCTTTACTAGTAGAATAGTAGTCACCGCAGCAAAAAGCATTAATACAGTTGTTGAGTAGCACCTTAATCAATGAATTTTAGGGGATTTTTGGTGATTAAAGGCGAGATTATATAGTTTTTCTTACCAAGACAACTTTTTTGGGGGGCAAGAAAGATGAACATTCAATGAGGAAAAAAAAAGGAAAGAATACAAGGGCAAACAAAAAGTACCCAAAAGGGAGGATTCAAAAGCACCCAACACTCCCACAACATATGATTTAGATTCTCTCCATAAAGGGAGGATTCAAAAGCACCTCCTCCATCAAAGATGGCACATCTCTATGAAAAATGCCTATGAAAAGCCTGCTAACCCGGAACGAACTCCTCCAACGACCCCAAAGTAGTTAGCAAACTGACACTCCCACAACAAATGATTTAGATTCTCTCCATGCCTCCTACGAACAATGCACTAATTCGGGTTCAAAACTTGAACTCTAAAGCTCACCCTAGAGGGAGATCATTTGCCCAAGTCAGTTTTTACTATTTCAACCATTCACATCATGGAGACGTTGACCTGGCACTAGTTGTAAAGATCTAAAGAATTCTTTGAGGTTCACTCCTGAATTCATTCAATGTAAGTAGCTTTTCTCTAGGCTTAGGTCCCCTTTAGCAAGTTAACACACAATGATAGAAATGTAAGGTGTAGCTATGGTCATATTCATGTTTAAGACTGTAAGTTTGTGTGGATGTGTTGAATGACCTGCATGGCACTATAACTGTAGGATGGGATCTTATGTTTAGGACATGCATATAATAAGTAGCTTGTATTCTCACTTTGGCTTTGGGACCCAAGTTCATGAAGGAAGGGGACATTAGAGATGAGGCACCTATATTTGTGGAAGGAATAACGATCGAGTAATGAATCTCAAACCACCAAACTAAGACTAGACGATTCAAAATAAGGATTCCTATAGTTTCAAGTTATGTATAGGTTTATGTATTGGTTTGATGTAAACCACTATTATGTTCGCCTAGTTTTTTACTTTACCATAAAGCTTGGAATAAGGTTAGATATTTAAGCAAAACTTCAAATATGTCCAGGTTGTTGATATTGCTTGCACATGAGGACTCATAAAGAAAGGCTCACTGTTCTTTAGTTGTCTTTCTTAGTCAAAATAACAAGAATATAAAGAATGAGGTAGAAAAGGGTGGCATCTAGCTTTCTTAGGGAAAAAGTAGACTTAGGTCCAAGTCTCATCTGAGTCAATTCTTAAACTTCCATAATTCCTTCAAATGAGCAGGACCACTCATTTCTCCATTGTATATTCATAAAAGGATCTTTCATTTAAGGTCTCATTTGTTTTGTCTAACTATAAAATGAGACATGGTCCAAACAAATTCTTGAGGCTTTAGAGGAATGTTATTGTGAAGTGAAACACGTTTGAAAAGCACATCAGGAAAAACAGGGCTATAAGGCTAAGACCCCTTGGGCATAGTTTGGGAGTAAAACTATATTCGTCCCCTAGCAACTATATTAATCCAAGCCAAAAATAAAAATAAAAATAAAAGTGATCCCACCCACTAGAAATCATCAAGAGAAGGAAGGGGCACATAGAGAAAATTATTCAATAATCATATTTAATAGTTGTTGGACATGGATTGAAAAAATCGTCTACCTCTAATAACTACTAGATACATATTCCAAGTACTATTATAATTTCTCTCTCATGCATCTAACGAAGTAAAACTGTAAGCGTGTCAACCTCTTTCAATGATTTCATGTCACATACCCATATGATTGGGGAAGAAAACAAATCGAAACTTCAAAACCACGTAGGCGTCAGTCAAGATAAAATTGCAATTCAATAAGCCAAGCAAATATAAAACGGTAAATAATTCAAATAGACCTTAAGTCTCATCTTCAATTCGTCAAATTCTTTATCCGTCAAAATTGGATTTCCAGATACATATGCCATTGAGGCCTCCAAAAACTTTTGTTCATCAGAACCTGTAGCACAAATTGTAAGTATCTGAACAATCTTCAAACGAATTAGGCATAAACGCAGAGATTTGATTGTTTGATCAGTAAGTACTTAGCATGACAACACTGCTGCCTTCCCACATTAATTCTTCCTTGAGATTATCAAATTCCTCGTTTGACATAATTGCTTTACCCTCATAATAGAATGCCTGCACAACATGAGGAGAAACTATTTTAGGGTGCATTAGGGAGTACCTCTAGAATAAGTGCTTTTAACAAAAAGTACTTTTCAAATGACAAATCACTTTGATACTTAATTCTCTGATCTTAAAGTACTTCAGAAGTGCTTCTTGTCAATCATTTGAGCCAAAAGTATTCTATAAGTGCTTTCTTACAAATTAGAAAAGAATCAAATAAAAATTTCGAGTGGAGAGTGCATTTGGTCATGGAAAAACTGTAACTGAGCATACTAAAAGAACTCCAAACACATGCCGCCAAGTTATCTAACATCTAGAGGCATACAAACATTATAATTTTACTGAGTTTAAACTGGACCAATTCTGAAACAGAACTTCAAGTCCTGATGTTTAATGTCTCTTTACAAAATCAAATCTTGCATAAATTAGAACTTAGAAGAATACCTGTAAAGCTTGGAGAAATTCTTGCTCAAGTTCTCCAATGGACTTCTTCTCCTTTTTGTCTATACTACAATATTGAAGGACATTACTATCAACAACCTCATCTTCCCCAACCTGACCTGAAAGAAATTTAGACTCAACTCAACATATTGCATTTACTTCTGGAAATCAAGGATTAAGTGATAATTTCCTTTCTGAAGCTTCTCTAGAGGCAAACAAGATGGGGTGAAAGCCAAGAAGTTCTCAATATTATGTTCTATTTGCAATACCAAACTTTTCATAACACTTACAGAATCAGGCATCAGGCAAATAACTAGTTCATAGGATTAATTTCATTAGGCTCAGCAGGCAAATTAGGTTCTGAAAACTACAAGATAATTTTTACTCAAGGAGATGTAGTAAGAAAAGCTGTATCAAAAAACATTTCTTAGTCAGTTGGACTTCTTTTTAACTATTAGCCAATGTGGTTTTAGAGCATTCAAAACACTTTCCAGCTCAAATATTTACACTTAGCTACAGTGTAGAAGCTTTTTTTTCTTTTTTCTTTTTTTCTTCAAAAAAGCATTTAGAATCATTTTTTCAACAAAGCAATTGATAAGTGCTTTATCAAGTACTTTTCGCATAAAACTTAATTTTTAATCTTTCGATGGTATTAAGTTTTCATCGGTTGACATTTTCATCAAGATTTTCATGTCCATGAGTTTCATATCGACAAACGGAAGGCATCAACATTTCCATTTTACTACAAGTAAAGTTCTCTATATAAAAAAATAGCAACAAAGTATCACTAATGTGAACATTAATATTAACTCAAATAAATTTTAACTTATTTAAAAGGGTGAAATGCTTATTTTCTAACATAAATATTTATGATTCTTTTTAGAACCATCCATTGATATCAACATCATATCGATATTTCCATCAACAATTCCATTAAATTTAGACCTTTACATTTTTGTCAATATATACATTAAGACCTAGTAACTCTATTATTTTTGGGTGAATTTAATGTCGTTTAAATTGTTTTTTAAGTGAAACATCTAATTTGTAACCACAAGCACTTCAAAAGATATATCGAACAACACACTAATCTTTCTAGCTCTGCCCCACTCCCTGCAACCTTCACAGTCAACAAATCGCACTAAGCTTAGCACTACTCGTGGTAACACGAAGAGAAAACCCTAACCTGGTTGATCAGTAGTTGCCCGGGGAGGTGGAAGACGCACCCGCCGTCGAAGAAGCACACGCCGGCTAGAAACCCTAATCAATTGGGATCTTGCAGAAGACGAAAACAGAGAAGCTGCCGGTTTCTGATTCTGAATCGGAACAGTAAGCGAACTCAAGGACGCTAACGACAACGTCAATTTGGTCGCCATGGCCAAAGGGAGAAGAAGAAGAAGAAGAAGAAGAACAGAAAACAAACAGGAATTTGATGAGTGTTGGAAGACTGTGGCTCGATTTGGAGGGAAAGAAAGATAAGGCAATGGGAAAATGTGTGGAGGGAAATTGCAACGGTTTTCTGTGTTTTTCATTTGGCAGAGGTTTTTCAAATCCACGAAATCTGCCACGTCAGCTTCATGTGTATTTTTTATTGGTCGTTAGGATCTGAGGTGTCCCTCAATCTTTCATTACCTGAACGCATTTTGTTCTGGTCCACGTGCCGATTTGGTGTTGGCCACGTGGGAGACTGTGACTGTCTTGCTCTAGATGTAGCTAGAGGTGTTCATTCAACCCAACTAATCCGACAAACTGGACCGACCCAACCCGAATTATAGGAATTGAGTTGGATTAGATTAACATCTCGAGTTAGGTTGGTTTAATTTTTCTAAACCTGACTTGATTCGGTTCAGTTTTGGTTCGTATAGCTCACTTTCACGATGAATTGTATTATAAAATTGTTACGAACCTATATTTTACATACATATGATAAAAGAATTTTGTGATAATTACACATTAAGTGATCGGATAATTAGCCACTAAGGACACTGGGTGATTAAGGTTATCATAGAGAGTGAGTCTATGTTTTAATTTTTTTTGTTATGCAAAGGGATAAAGGTTTTAAATCATATCATAGACAGACGATTCTAATCGAAGATATGTCATAAGTGAGTGACCCACCTTGAAAATCGCATAGATCGTGAGTGATATCTTACTATGTATATGTCGTTGAGATTTGTGCCCTTGTAGCTTGTTATAATGGCACGTTTTTCTCACTTACTAATTAAAATCTTGTTAGTTTATATTATGTATAACACAATAAATATTGTGTAAAATTAAGTGTTATTATGACACGTTTGTTCGGTATGTAATTGACATACAAATTTAAAGATGTAATAAAGAACATTGATGAGTAGAGAAATAAACACATCTTCTCGGCTCAACGATGTTCCTGTCGAATAAGACATACTTTTTTGGTAACAAATTTTAACTATAAACCTTAGAAAAAAGACGTAATTGAGAATTTTGACATATTAATGGAGGTCAGGCCTTAATTTTAATTGGATATACTATTTTTATTGAGGTCGAATGTTTATATTATTTATTTACTAAAAAAAATAATGTAAATAATTTTATTATTATTGTTTTTTCTTTTCCTAGAATTTTGTCTTATTCCAAAAGTTTAGGAGTTTTTTTTTTTTTTTTTTTTTTTAATTTTTTTAATTTTAATTTTTTAATTTATTATTATTCATCGAAAACCATAATAATAATAATGCTATTCGTGTAGGGCAAACGAGAATGGCAGCATAACAATACCTACAGTACCTCTGAAGCTGGGAAGAATCTCGCTGGTCGTCGTTAATGGAGGTCGGGCCCAAGATTAGTGGTGAAGATGTTATCGAAAAGCTCAAGGATGATGGCGACTTCGATAAGCTCCGTCTCAAGATCATTCGCAAGCTGAAAGACAATGTATGTTCATTTTTATATTTCATTTCCATCTTGATTTCCTCTATTTCTTAGGTTTTTGTTCTTCATTTGATTTCTGCTTAGTATTTTTGTTAATTCTAATTCCAATAGTCAAAATTTTTATCTAATCGCATCTCTTTGTTGTGGAATTTGTTGATTCGTTTGAGCTATTAGTTCTTTCGTTCTTCCTGTTCCAAATTAAGCACATTTGTTCAGGGTATCAAGGGAGATAAATCGATGGTAGTATTTTTAGAAGTTCTATAAACATTGACGTTCTGTTGGATTTTGGGGTTTAATAGAAAATGTTTTTTTAACTGTAGGAAGAATTGCGCAATAATATAGTTGCAATAGTGAAGCAATCGGCAGCTCTTAATCGAGCAGGGGCTGAAAATGTAAAACCTCGGCAACTTTCTGATGCAATATTTGACGAGGTTGGGTAAGACCAAATTTCTGCTGTCCCATGTTCTTCATTGTTTCTTTTTGACATAATCATATTGTCATTATAGTGTACTTTCTCGAGTTCTCTAGCTAAAGTAGGTTGTGGAGTTCATATGAACTCTTCTTATAATGGGAGGTGAAAGGTTTATCTCATCCGGATCAACTCACATGAAGAAATTTCTACTTTGAAACTCTGTAAAATCCCCAAACCAAACAGAAAAATGCAAAAATCTCTATATATTATAAGAGACAAAAAATAAAATATCAAAGAACAAAATGTAGCGTGGGCGCTTGTTTGGGAGATTTGTAAGGAAAGAAATAGGAGGATCTTCGAGGATTAGTCTAATACTTTTGATATATTTCTTGCAATACTGTACAAATTATGTCTTCTTTGTAGTGACTTAGAAACAGGAAATTCTTTTGTGAGTATAGCCTAGCTCAAATCCTCCATAATTGAGAGGTTGTGCTTCATTAGTTTTTGTGTGGGAGGGAGCTTCTCGCCCCCTGCTCTTTGACTGTTGCTTTTTCTTGGTTTATAGATCTATCTCAACCAATGGACGAGCGAAAGCATACAAAACTACTCCCACCAAGCTACTTTGTAATGACCCAAGCCCACCGCTAGCCGATATTGTCTTGTTTGAGCTTTCCCTTTCGGGCTTCTCCTTAAGGTTTTTAAAACACGTCTATTAGGGAGAGGTTTCCACACCCTTATAAAGAATGTTTCGTTCTCCTCCCCAACTGATGCGGGATCTCACGTACTTCCAACATCAAAAACCTATTTTCAAGTCCACAAACTCCTTCACATGACTCTCATATAACCCTTCTGATGCCAATTCTTGAAATAAGTCAACTCCTCATCGTTACTACTAACACTAACATCAGAGTTATCATCAAATCCTTCTTCTTCTAAAGCGCATCTACTTCTTTTCTTGTTGATTAAATCGTTTCAAAAGATAGAGAAATACGCTCACTTGAGTTTGATGATTTCTCGAATTCTTGACTTAGCGAACTTTAAAAAACTCAGTGAATGAGTGACTTAAGTTATCTATGTTACAATCAAATATTTTGGATGCCTATGTTTGTTGTTTCCTTATTTTATTGTCCATACTAAAATTTTCTTTTGAAGAAAAGTAAAGTATCTACTGAGAGATAATAAGGTAATAATATATTTGCCTTGTCTTCAGGGATGAAATAATGAGCAAGGTTTCTGATAACTTATGGGAGATAATCAGATCAGATGATGGCATGAAAAATGAAATCACAGAAACTGTACAATCAATATACGATAACTTAGCGAACCCGAAAGCGAAGGAAGACGCCGAAGCATCCACCCACCATGCTATACCAGTTTGGAAGGAAGCTGACAACAATGGTTCTATGAAGGCCTCCACCAGTCAATCTGAACACACTGAGTCCAATCCTATAGAACCTTCAGGTTATTCTTTTGCTGGTAATCATACAAACAAGGAAAAACAACACGTAGATGAGCTGCAGTTTATTAAACGTGACAACGATAGTCGAAACGACATGTCTGATGCAGATAATGTCGATCCAGCACCAGGCTTTGTTTCAAACACGAAGCACAACCAAATGTGTATAGATGATGACAGCGATGAAGACCCAGATGTGCCCCCTGGTTTCGGTTGAAGAACTACATTTATGCAGTAACCAGTTCCTGAGCATTTTGCAACAAGTCTTCGGTCGAATCCTGTGCGACACAACAAGAAAGTCGGGACTAATCAACCGATCATTTCTTCTGCCATGGTTCATAATGTGATTACAATGTATCAAGTTTGTGTTCCATTTGGTAGAAAGCCACAAATTTAGAGAACTTCGACCAGATATCCAAACACACATGATTCTGCTATTATAAGTTAGTGTGAGCTTTCCTTGAACTTTAAAGTTTAAGCTAATAGCAAAAGTTTGTTTTTGGTGAAAAATCTTATATCTGAATAGGAATTTTCTTAAATTTTCTTTATTTTTAAGCCATTTTAAGACTAATTTATATTTAGATGACAACTATGATATTTACTTATTATTAGCCAACAATCATGTTTTCTTTTATTATTTTAATTAAAAAAAAAAGACTTTATTCTAAAGATATAGATGAAAATAATAATTATAAAAAATTTAACTATACTTCAAAGAAAATTTAAAAAAAAAATCCCACCGCTCAAATTTATAGAAATTTTAAAAAGATTATTATTTTGCAAAAGAAAAAAGATTTTGGTATATTGGGTGTGTTGTTTTTTGCCGTTTCGTTGACAAATGTTGAAAGAGAAAACAGCAACGAAGAGAATCGTTCTTAATGGCGTTTCTAAGGTCCGCAGCAACAACCACTAGCCTTGCCATAACAGCGTCTGCTCTATCTGCAGCTTTCATCTTCCCCAGCCCTTCTTCTTCTTCTCCTCCTCATTTTCATCTCCCTCAATCCTTCAAACCCATTTCCCTCTCTTTACATTCGTCTCGAAATTCCTCTGGATTTTCCCGAATCTCTGCCTATTCCCCCTCTACTGTTCCCATGGAGAAACCCACTTCGGAACCTATCTCCTCCTATCAGGTTTCCTCTGATTTCTTAAACCCATAGCTAATTTTACTGTTTTCTATCGTGTATCAGTTCTAATGCCCCTTAATTGCTTTCGATTGATGCAGAGCACCGTTGATTTGCCCGAACTTTTGGTGAGTCTAGTTCTTTGAATTCTTTTTCTCCTGATTTGTGTATTATCTTGAAGCTTTCTGGTTCATATTGGTGTAGTTTTCTAATGAGGATCTTTGTTGGTTAAATTGCTCAAGGGGTTGTTGTTTTGTTATGGTTTAATATGAGAATTCGAGTCTATGTTTGGAATTTACTTAGTTGATTGTGTTCGAGTGACAGACAGAGTTTATGGTGGATATGAAATGTGAGGGCTGCGTTAATGCCGTCAAGAACAAGTTACAGGGCGTTGATGGTAAGTGTTTTAGGTGAAGATTTATCTTATTTGATGTTCGTGTTTCATGTTTCAATTGATAATTGTTTCACCTTTTGGTTGGTTTATAACCTCTTGTTAACCTATGTTTGGGAGTTTTTTGGGCATTTTCATAGCTAAAAGCACTTCCCCCCAATTGTGAGTGCTTTCTTAGAGTATGAACCAAGTCTTAAAATGATTTCTCATTGAACACCTTTCACTAAACTGCTTGTAATTAAACTAATTCTACCAATAGCATCCTCATTCATGTTTTGTATACTAGTTCCAAAACTTTAAACTGTTGTTTCAGGCGTGAAGAGTGTTGATGTGGACTTGAGCAATCAAGTGGTTAGGATACTGGGTACAACACCTGTGAAGACAATGACTGAAGCTTTGGAGCAGACGGGTCGAAAAACCCGGTTAATTGGGCAAGGGGTTCCTGAGGGTACGTTGAATTAAACCCGCCCTCTCTCTTTTTCTGAATCTGATACTTAGCTGTTAAGATGATAAAAGCTTCTTTGAGTTCTTTAGATTTCTGAATGTTTTATCAAGTTCTATGTTGCTTCTGGAAACCATTTGAATTTATAGGTAAAAACACAAGGTGAGGACAAAGGAGAGCCATCGAAATGTAGAATATAAATTATCAGAACTTGATCTTGTTCTGAATCAATAAAGAAGGAAAATCAAAATAGAACTTGGTTGAAATAGTTTAAGGGGTGGGTTAAAAGTGAGCCGAACCCCAAATCTCCTGCGAATTCCTCTCTATATCCACAAATCTTCTGGTTCCTTTCTGGCTAAGGGCATCCTCCATCGTGTTATGACGAATCTCGATTTTTGGACTGGTGGGCAACAATAATCCGATGAAACTTTCACCGAATCTTTTGAGGGAAAAACAAGTCCAAAGGATGGGATTTAAATTTTTTGAAGTATGCCCTTACATAACACACCATTGTGGATTAAGAACCTAAGGAGGACATGTGAATAGATTCAATGGGGTTATTCGAGATTTTAGCCGTCCACATTCAACGTGATTATATGCTTTTTGGAAATCAATTTGAAGATGATAGCCCTCCACTTTACTAGCCCTAAATTCTCTGTGCTATCATTTGTAATCAAATCTTTGTTGAGTATTTGTCTACTCAATGGAAAATCATCTTGAGTCTCGGAGATGGTACATGACAACGTTGTTTAACCTATTCGCCAGAAAGGGGTGCTAGGGTTATTGAAAATGGTATAGGTCGATTCCTTTTCAATCCATTTGTTATGACCTAGACCATCATTCGGTGCTATCTGATGACTGCATTAACAAATCGAAAACATAGGCATTTTGACTCTCGGGAGAAATATGACAGTTTCATCTCCAGTTCATTTTCTAAGCCTATTGGGTCAAACTGGGATTAGAGCACGTGGCTACGAACCACGGTGTCAGGGGTTCGAATCCCTCCTCGCCCACAACCGGCCAAAAAAGGGAAGGACTTTCCTTTTTGGGTAGGAAGGTGTTGAGAGCGTATGTTGTTTGTAGATCAAGAGTAGGTTCTTGGACTGGCCCCCTTCGCATGACCTAGAAAGAAAAATCAATCCGTGACAGCCAATCAAAAATATCACCAAATCTCCCGCCCTCTGGGGATGCCCTCAGCGTCGAGGAACATGTACCTTTTTAAGTTGCTGAGTTTGTATATAGAGAATTATGAAGAACATGACAAACACTAAGAAGCATCCAGTCTATTTCGAAAAGGCTGGTAACCTCTCCTCCACAAACATAGTTCTATACAAAAGAAAGCCTGCCTACCCAAAGCACTCCCCTCTAATATCTAGTCCTCATGCCCACACCAACCACCCGACTTCCCCACGAGCTAATTTTCTGGTGCTTATTTCCCTTACTACCCCTCCTAGTGTACGTATGTCAAATTAGAGGCCTAACAGAGAATACGATAAAGCATGCACGTGACGGGAAACTGGTGTGGTTTGGATGAAACATATCTCTTTGGCACTTTAATTCGAACAATTCTTTAATGATCCGTTTCTTTTGTTAATAACTAGTTGAGAGCCCATCTTAGTTCTCTCTAGTTCTGGATTGGATCTGGACGCCAAGTCTCCCCTTTCTCTTGTAATTCCTTTTGTTAGATTGTTTGGGTTTTTTTAAAAGAGGAATCTGATTGACCCGTTGAAAGAATAGGAGTGAGAAAGTTATTAATCTGATAAACCACTGCCCTCTCTTTGCAGATTTCTTAGTTTCTGCTGCTGTCTCCGAATTTAAAGGCCCGAATATATTTGGCGTGGTTCGATTGGCTCAAGTAAGTATGGAACTAGCCAGGGTTGAAGCCAATTTTAGTGGATTGTCACCTGGAAAACATGGTTGGTCAATCAATGAATTTGGTGACCTGACTAGAGGTGCTGCTAGCACAGGGAAAGTGTTTGATTCTGCAGATTCTGGCCCTAGTAATGAGGTTAACTTTCAACTTATAGCTTTTGAAGTCATTCCTTTTCCTGTTCATCCATAAATTTCATATGCCTGTTCATAGAGACCATGCTTCTGCTGTTGTTTTTTTGTTAGTGTCTGGGATGATTAGTGTAAACTTGTAACCAGCAATAGGTCTGTTCATGAGCATATTATAATTGTTGTCGGGTCTCGGGTTTAGTTTCGATCTAGTCCTACAATTTGGTTAAACCTCACGAATCTTTCGAAATCGGTTTTGAACCTATTTGAAAACATCTTCCCTTTCCTCTAGTTTAATCCTACCCTAAACCATCAAACCATACTAAGCAACTTGACATGATTTCTATGTGGTTATGAGTCTCTGAAAGATTAATATAGTGTCACAATGTATTTTCAGCCATTGGGCGACCTGGGAACATTAGAGGCCGATGAAAATGGCGAAGCGTTTTTCTCTGGTGTGAAACAGAACCTGCGTGTGTGTGATCTCATCGGACGATCGATAGCGGTGTATGAGACCGAAGATAAATCAGTTCCGGGCATCGCAGCAGCAGTAGTAGCTCGAAGCGCGGGTGTCGGAGAGAACTACAAGAAGCTATGCACCTGTGATGGGACTACCATATGGGAATCAAGTGACAGGGATTTTGTCACCAGCAAAGTCTAATAAGGGCATCTAGAAGGAAGCTAAGATCCATCATTCTCATGTAAGATTTTGTGTTTGGAACCTATATTTCACCTTTGTTTACTATTCGGAGCCGGAATAAATCTTGGAAAGGTCTGGTCGTAGTTGGAAAGTTATGAGATGGGTTAACATTTACGACGACTTGATTAAAGACCAAGTTGTCTTGGTAATAAGAGACGACGATAAAGATAAATAGGTCAAAATTATGAATTTCGATATCGAGTCTTGGACGTGTAGATTTCTTAATCGAGTTAAACTTAAAGAATATGAATAGATTTTTAAAAGAAAAAAAATGGCGTAGATAAAAAGATACCGATCTTCTGTAAGTAGAGCTTATAAATATAATTTGATAAAAAAAATTCTTAAAAAATGCATGGATATAACATAAATTAGATGGGAATTTCACAGGTGGATTGGTTAATTAATATTAACAAAATTATAATATATAGTATTTGATGTAAAATTAAAAAAAAAAAAAAGAATAATAATAATCTTATTCAAGTTAATTTGTTTAAAAAAGTGTATCACGTCCCAAGAGCAATGAATTAATTATCTACCACGAGACCTAACATTTAATATAATTTATTATGAATAATAAACCTAATGAAAATTTAATTAATGTTGGTACCATATAATATTAATTGTGTTTAATATAATTTGTTAATGATATGAATGATTGTAATTATTAAATAGAGAATAAAGACAAAATCAACCTCTTAAAAAATATATGGAAAATGTTAATTCACATGGTTGCAACTATAAGATTGGCTTAAAATATATTTTGTATTTTAAACTTGTTCTAAAAAATTTAATAATTTTTATTATTAAAATATGAATAATAAATTAATAAAAGAAAAATAATTTATCCATTTTATTATCC